TATATAGAGATTGAAAATGTGACGTCACTCAGGGGTAAAACCGCAAAGAATTCTGGGAACTCGTGGCAAGAGGTACTAGCGCACGCAGGCTTTCAATTGAAATCAGTTATACAGCGATAAAAAGAAACACAAAAAATGGCAAGAAGCTGTTGTATTATTAACTGCAATAGCCGGTCGCATGACAGCCACGGGAAGCCGACGGGTAAAGAGATCGGTTGTTATCGGATTACGTCGTTGAAGAGAAATTGTTCGAGCCATGTTTCCGAAGTAACAAAGAGGCGACTGGATTGCAGCCATTCAAAGACCAAATATAACGTCCCAGAACACTCCAGCTCACAGGTTAGTCTGCTCCAAGCATTTCCACAAAGGTCAGTCTGCTGTTGTAGTTAATGCGTCATTTTTCTTAACATAATTGGTGATATAGGTTACAAGCAAGTCTGGCGCTGAACAGAAATTGTCGCGCTATGCTCCTTTATTTATTGTGCATAAATAGTGAATTGTCCTGACACAATATTGGTTTCGCTTCTGTTATTATGGTACATTGACAAAAACATATACTTTTATTCACAGGATAAAACAGTTGTTTTGTATCACTAATTGCCCAGTACGATTACAGCATACAATATTATTGTCACTGCTACATTTCTGTGATGCGTACCAGAAATTATTTCCACTACTAATTAATTACCGTTGAGCTCAAAGGTCCTATTAATAAATGGTTAACGAATGTGTATTTATGAGACGATTTGTGAGACTGGTAAACTTATGATATGTACGATGGTCTTTACTTTCTACACGGTGCATTTCAAGGTCCTGTACCCATCCGTCGGTAAACTGGGCTTGTTGCAGTGACCTGAAGTTACTAAACTTCACGAGTGTATGCACTCACTCCAAAGAACCGTATAATTATAAATATGAGCGTGGTGAAGTTGGGCAGCACGCTAACGTATTTTGTCCCTCTGTGTGCTCGTAAGGATCTAACCCTTTCACTGGTTTGATTTTTTTCCTCGTATCTTTTCTTTGACTTTTCATTAAGTCTGTCTTTGTACGGACCGGCATTGTTCTCCTTCGTTTTGTACATACCTTTTTGGGGGGCAAAGAAAAAGCAAGAATTTATTGGAACCGAAGAATGAACGTTTTGCGGTGCTGCAAATGCTTGCATTTGATGCAGGTACTTGGATTGTTTTGCCACGAGTTCCGGCATGCAATGCGCGAAAGTCACGTGGTCTGTCAATCTCTATATCTACCTCGGGAGTTCAGTCAAGTGATCTCTGGAGATGTTTCAGGAGCAAAGTGAAGGAGGAGATGAAAGCAGCACAGCGGGAGGTGAAACGCTGCCTGAGGGAAGCAAAGGACACCTACAGGAGGAAGGTGGAGCAGAAGTTGGAGAGGAACAATATGAGGGAGGTCTGGAATGGTGTGAAAACCATCACAGGCCACAACACCAAGAAAAGCACAGTGGGGGGGACTGTGGAGAAGGCAAACGAACTCAACAACTTCTTCAACAGGTTTGACCAGCCCACAACCCCCCCACCCTCACCTTCACTACAGAGTCCTCTCCCCACTCTCCTACCTCCCTCGCTTCCCCCCCTTCCTGACACCATGACACCCCCCTCCTCCAATCCCTCTCTCAGCAGCAAGACATCTCCCCCCCTCCCCTCCTCCCAAACATCTCCCAGTGTCACAGTGGATCAGGTCAGGAGACAACTGAGGAAGCTTCGCCCCAGAAAGGCAGCAGGCCCAGACAAGGTGTGTCCTAGGATGCTAAAGGCGTGTGCTGCTGAACTTGGGGAGCCGCTACAACGAGTCTTCAACTCAGTCTGCGACTGGGGAGAGTGCCCGCCCTATGGAAGACATCTCCGTGTGTGTGTGTGTGTGTGTGTATATATAATATTCTGTAACTGTAACTTCTGTCGGTGCTGTGCTTTTGGAAACCGAATTTCCCAGAGGAACCCACCCGAGGGATTAATAAAGTTTTATCTTATCTTATCTTATCTCTTAATTCCTAACTCAACGTGATTATGAAACACTTGTGCATTCACTTCAAATGAACCACATTATTGTGGTGCTCGCTATGCTGGACTCCCTAATAATACAAACAGAATAATCTAAAAAGCTCTTAAACACACACCTTTTTAATCTTACATATAACTGACTTTCAGTAGTACAACTGTAAAGGTGGATTGACCATTGGCAGACACAAAACAGATAGGTGATTTCTTGATTATTTTCATATTACTCTATATCTATTACTTCCAAGTTTGTGTCAATAAATTTCTCTCTGCATCTCCCTCTCTCTTCTTTTTCTCTGTTTTATACATCTTAAAGTATGATTTATATATGAATAGACGGTAATTTTAAGTATTTATGATTGTCTTTATTTTCGAGTTCAAATAAAAGTGAGTGGATTTGACAGAATATCACAGAGGCAATGTGAAAGGCCTGAAAACCTCCAAATATTTCATTTGCTTATTGTGTATAAGTTCAGCTAGAATTTTGAACTTCTACAATGGATAAATTACTTACCAAACTCACTGATATTTTCCAAAACTAGGATGTAAATTACATCAACACTGTCCTCTTTCATTTGGATTTATTGGAGCTAACTTCCAAGTGTCCTGACAAATGGTTTCAGAGCTGTAACGTATACTCGTACCTCCTCCTGAACTGGTCAGTGCCAGAGGCGGGTGCGTCTCCATGCTCTTGTGCAGTGTGGCCACAGCCAGCAGCTTCCTCTTATGAATGCAGAGTTTGGTGACATCTTCGTCTGCTTTCACATCCTCCGCTGTCCTCTGTTTGACAGCTGCCCCGGGGTCGAAGTTGAACACCTGAGGAGATAAATAAAAGTGGATAGAAGTCACTGAACTGACTTGGTCATTGTTTTGCTTGTTTACTCACAATCGTCAAAGGAGCTTGCAAAGAAAAGCGTCTGGACTTCTTTAAGTTGCTTGAAGATGTTTCACCTCTCATCCGAGAAGCTTCTTCAGTTCTAAGTAGTTTAAGTTTACTCACAATCTTTTTGCTTAATTAATTGTTTCTGCGCTCTCATGCAATGGCCTTTATTGTTAGCCATTTTATTGGTTTTATTCCCCATTTTCTGTCATATATACATATATATCATATACACTGTTAATCAAATTCACCATACCCAGGATGCCTTTTTCATATCTGTCTTTATTTATCAACACATTATCAATCGGGTCAAGCAGTCACACAAAGGTTGAGCACCTCGCCAATGAGAAAAACATTGAAGTGCACTGGCAGCACAACAACTGGTTTTACAAAGGAAGATAAAACTGATATAGAACAACATAAAGCAGACTGAAACCAGCACAGCTGCTGCAGACAGCTCAGCAGACTGCGAGTGAGAGTGAAGCGCATTAAAAGCACCGTGTGAATGTGAGAGAGCTTTAAGTGCTTTGGTCAGTACGACTAAAAAGGTGCTGCTGTAATACTAAAGTTTAGCCTATTTGTATCCAGGAAAAAAAACCTGACAGCAGAGATCAACTGGGACCTCTATCATTAAGGTTCCAGTCACATCAGAGCAAGCAGTCTTCTCGTGACTAGTAAAAGAGCTAACTTGTCATCCAGGAGTTGAGCATGCAACCTCTGGGCAACCACTTTCAATCTCAAGATCACTATACAGGCAACCTGTCTTCAAACAATCACAGTCCAACTCAGATTGACTGCAATCACCCTCAGATTGGTGAAGGTTTGCAAACAACTGCCATATAATTTATAAACACAGTCCGATTGCCAACATATGCCTGAGTTTCACTTCTGCAGGGAGTCTTTGCAGAGCCAGGTTTTGTTTTTTTTTTGCTTTTTACCTTCTTCATAAAATTCTAATGTCCATTTCAGTAGTTTCAGCAATCTCCCAGTAGGAACTCCATATTTACATTGATTATTATTCTTTAAACTGAGGTGATGATTGTTTGTCTCATTGATAAATGAAAAACTGTAGCTGGAAATGCACAGGAGGCGCTAACGGTGCAGAACAGGTTGCTCACAATAGTTGTTGGCTGCTTCAATCCAACACATTTCTTGGGAGATGCAACTCAGGTTACAGCGTAGGATTTTCAGTTATGTTGTAAGTTAGGACGTACATTTCCGGCAGAAGTCTAAATACTATAATCAGTCTGTAAAAACGAGTGCAGACTGACAACTACTTCCTGCAACGCAACTCTTTGCAGTAGGGGACTAAATGTAACTGGTTGTATTCCGATTGTATAACTGTGTAAAAGAAAGGGTGTAGAACACCTATGGCTGCTATAATTTTGTTCATACTGCAGGTCTGCAATCACTGTTTTCCTTAGTCTGATTGTAGCACGAAACAGAGTTGTTTTCATTACACTAAAGGTTAATATTTCGAAACTTTTTTTTTTTTAAATGTGAACGACAAACACTGGTGTTTGAGGCTATTCGCAACGCTAATAAAAGGTCAACAACTGCCCTTGTTTGCCCAGAGGGATCTTTTAGGAATGATGACACCATTTTCCAGATAAATTACTGGTGAGTGCAAGCTGATTTCATACCCGTTAATGTCAAATCTTAAACAAAGCTTGCTAAGGAGCAGCTTAATTCTCCAGCATAGGTTACTATAGTTATGAGAAGTAAACCTTCATCTTCCTAACACTGAAGTTTCCTCACTGCGCCCAAATCCTGCTTCAGAGTGCAGGCCTTAGGTAAAGCCAGCATGCCACAACAATGCCCAGTCATCCGAGAGTGGCTGGGGAAGGATCTTCAAGGAATCGTCCAAGAAATTCCTGTGAATATCAAATAGTATTTTTCCTTGACATACCTGTGCAAAATCAGTACGCATGAAAAACCCTGCTTAAACAGTCCTCTTAGATCAGTGCACACAGAAACATAGATATCCACCCATCTATCCAGTCACCCGTGGGCTTCTAGAACAACTGCAATTCTTTCAAGAGAAAACTGGGATCTCCTGTGATCATGGATTCACAGATAACAGTAAGCCTATTATCACGCTTTGCAACTAATCAGAGCTCCCCACAAAAAAAGGAAAAGAAAAAAAAGAAAGAAAAGAAAGCATGCTGTGGGCCCAGAATAAGGATGGTGAGGATCAGTTTTGAGGCCAGAAAGCTGCTTCCCCGAGCCACGTGACCACCCCTGAATATTATGTAAATCACATCCAGGTCTGGCAGCACACTATATTTTCCTCACGCTCATCATCTCTTGGGGCTGTCTTAACAGCACAGGCAGTGATGTACATAGACTAAATCGTAGATAAACATGGAGGCAGTGGCTCTCCCAAGCACCTCATGATATGAGATATGTGATATCCCACATCTTAAGACGGTTAAGATGTAAAAGTGAACTAATGTTTAAGACCAGAAAATGAGTCTTAAAAAATATTTGCATCTTCATTTTCAGATACTAAGAAGACAGCAGGGAGGGGGCACTCATAAGGGAAGACGGGCAGCTACAAAATCATTCTGATAATGGCGTGGAGTGTTGGGGACAAATTTAGCATCAGGAAGGATAATCGGTCAGATTACCCCGTGTAATGTGACGCCTCACATAACCCCGACATTTGTAGTTTGGTCCTACAGAGATCAGTGGGTCAGCTTGGGTTCATTTCATACATCCTGAGTATGAAATAGGAGAGGATTATGCTACAGGAGAGCTTTTCCTGTATACTCTTTTATAATTTCACTCCTGCAATTCACTCTAAGCCACACTGATTTGAGTCTCTGCACACTTTGAAGAATAAAACTTCAGAACCACCATTCAAAGCTGTCCGAGCAGACAATAGAGGCAGTGGTCCTGAAAGGAAACTAGAAGACTCTAAAGTAGAAACTTTGTGACCATACATAACAAAGTAGTTTTTGGAGTTTCTCATCCCGTAGACTCCCAACTCTTCCATTTTGAGCCCAGTGTAGGGGACCACCAAAACAACCGCCTAATTGGCATTATCGGTAAGGAAAACTGGAAAGACTGGATGCTAACGGTTTAGCAGCAAGTGAACTTTCAAAATAAGAGTGTGGGGAGTGTCCACTCTAGGGAGTGGCCTAAAAACTGGTTGCCAACCACCTCACTTATTGCCAATGGCTGCACAAACACCGACACCGTGGTCCAGTGACGAAGTGAAGATGCTTACTTTCGGTTTAGCAGCAGGCACACCATCACCTTTATACCTACAACATCCTACATTTTTGTGTTGTTTTTGTTGCATATACAAATGACATGACGGGTCTTTTGGCAGTGTTGCTTTAACAGCCCAAAGCACTGAATTGTAATGGAAAACGACTGAAACCGAGTAGAATCGAGTGGAGACGGTACTAGTGGAAAAGAGGCATATGTAGCAGTGCTATATATGCCTCCTGCTTTCCTGTCCATTCTGTGTTTATACTGCACTGTAAAATAACGGCCCAAAAAATGCCAAAGATGAGATTTAACTTGTGATTTTGTTTAATAGGATAAAACTGACAGTTTGTATAAATAAATGTAATTTTTGCTTATACAGTTTGTGTTTTTCCTTTCTGCATAACAATAACTGAAAACTGTGATGGTGTTACATTAAATCTCTACTGTAAATATAGGAAACAGCAGTTATCACTGTACACTCAAGTTGCCTGATGATTAGAGCTCTAAAAGGAGCCTGTACAAACAAACACCACACACCAGTTTAAATTTAGGGGTCCTTGTTTAGCCGTAATTTGTGGACAACAGAATTTTAATTTCCGTCGCAGATTGGCTCCTCCATCTTAATCTCTAAATAGCGAATCATCTGGAGCTCAGATTGGAGCAGCTGTAAAAATCTCACTGTGTTTTAATCAGAGCCAAAAGAAAACAAATAAATAAATATACCTTTTGGAGGATGAGTGGGCACTCCAGGCCGCATTTGCAGGTTCCATCTGTCAGCAGGTAGGTCCTCACCTGCTCCAAGCTGGACAGCACCGAGCCACTGGGACTGCACACAGAGAACAACAACAAGGTGAGGCTGAAGCTGAAGCTGGCAATGATCCACAGCAAAAATGCTCCTTCTGGGAAGCTTACTGAAACACCCGTTTGAAATAAGATTCAACATTTTTAGACTGGAGCTCCTGAACACTGATCTTTAGTGTTAACGTGGAAGAAGAAAAGAAACACGATGGACACAAACTTTTTTCCCCTTCTCTGAGGCAGGTTAGCAGCTCCTTCAGACTGTTTTTGGATAGTAGTTAGCATGAAATCAACCGCGGAGGAATAATCTCCATCTACATGTATTAAAACACCTGACCTGAACAATATATATGCACTTTACATGAAGACAGAAAATAATTGTCATTTACTTTCTCTTCATTTGTCTTTCCTCAAGGGAAATTGTGAAAATGTGGTTGTCTTAATAATGTACTTCCCCTTTTTTGCTACATTTAGGCATAGTCAGGACAACATGAGCATCATAATGGTAAAGGAAAGGTGATTTAAGTGATTGAATGTGGCAAGGTTATTGGTCTGGGTATTTCAGAAACCATCACTAGAGTTTAGAGAAGATGACCTAAAAAAGAGAAATTATCCAGTGAGCGGCATTTCTCTGGGAGAAAATATCTTGTTGATGTCAGAGGTCAGAGGAGAAAGGCCAGACTGTTTCAAGCTCACAGGAAGGTAGCAGTAACTCAAACAACTACTCATTACAACCCAGATGTGCAGAAGAGCATCTCTGAATATGAATCAAATTCTCCAGTGCCTTGTTTAATCTATGACATGAAGCATTATGGCAGTTCTGGAGGCACACATTATGCAAAGTGTATCTAATACTTCAGTACACTTCTGTGAGCCATTTTGTGTACAGAAGCTACACAATCAAGGACTTTTATTGTGAAAGGATGGAACACATGCACAGGACAAATTGGGTTTCTGGGTGATAATTGTTTTTAATCTAGGCCTAATATGCCTTTGTATCTTTACACTGGTTAAAGAAAGGAGAAACTTAGACATATAGGTTATTATGCAATGTTCTTACTAGTCGCGGCAGCTTGAGATAAAATTAGCCTGCATGTGTCCCATGTAATAATAAAAGGAGTCTGACACCCCTGGATGAAACATTAGAACGAGCTTTAACCAAAGACAGATATAAAAGGGGTCTCTATGCACTCGAAGGCTGGCACAAAGAAACTACCTCTAAAGAAGAACAGTATGTACCGCTGGTAGTTCCTATCAAACATATACAGACATATACAGACTGAATCATCAATCACTGTGGCTGTGAAAGAGAATGAAAAAAAAAAAAAAATCAACTGTGAGGATCATCCCTGAAGCAAAAGCATGCTTTCAAATGTAAAAGAACATCAGCAAATACAAGTGTGCTGTGACAGTATCAGGCCACGGTCACAGACAGGATTCTTTCCAACACCCAAAATAAACCTGACACCAGCCAACTGCTTCGGTTCATTGTGGTTGGTGAGCGCACGTGCCGGGAAGGACACCAAGTCACAGCCTACAAGGATTCGACTCATCGGAGGAGACCGACGAGTAGCAGTCGCTTTGTTAGTCATTTCACTGTCTGCAGCTTACCTGTGTCCGTGGGCTGATCAGTGAAGAAATTTGTGTGTCTAGTTCATGCCAAATGGAAACTAAATCAGGTGACTGTGACTGGACACAGGAAGCATCATCATCAAAGAGTTGCCATGCTTCTGCTCATCGATCAGTTAGAGAAACTCTACCCTGTGTGCACAGTAAACAAGCCTGCTGGGTGCTCTTTGAATTCAAATGACTGGGACCAAAACCTGACGCTTACCTTTGATACATGACATCAATCACCTCCGTTGTTCGTGAACACACTTTTAGTCATGATATAGACTAGGGCTGCACGATTTTGCATAAAATGAGAATCACGATTTTTTGGCTTAGAATTGAGATCACAATTCTCTCACGATTTTCTTTTCCAGTATAAATATTTATTGCACTTATTAACTGCACATCAACTTCGTAACAGTTGAGACTGAACATAAAAACAATAAATAAACATAAAAACAACTAATGTCTCACATTTTGTTGTTGCTGCAAAATGTTGTACTGCTTGAAATTCCGTCTCCACCGTTGCTCGACGCTGCGTGTATAGAGCAGGTAGTGCAACAATAGAAAAATAGTTGCGGGACGGCACTGTGTAGCGTTTGTCTAGGGTGTTGATCATTTTCCTAAATCCCTCGTTTTGCACAGTGTTGATGGGAGCCATATCTTTGGTCAGGTGATAAGTGATAGCCTCCGTAATTTCTTTGTGCCTGCGGGAGTTCGACGTGTATAGGGAAGCGCTGTATAAGGTTCCCGTTATTGATGTTCAGGTGGTTGACCGGGACGGATTTTCTCCTGTCACTTTCTCGTCATCCCTGACGTGCTCTCCGTTGTTTTTTCCCTGCTAATTTTAGCATCACACGGCACAGCTTCTGTATCACGTGGTATAAGGCTCCGCCCTTGTCATTTGTTGAGCAGGAAGAGTGAGCGCTTGTTTTCATGCAGATTACGTCCCGGATCAAAATGCGGTACAATCGTCGTCGTCTTTTTTTTTTCTTTTTTTAAATCATTGTCATTTGGAAATGAGATCGCACATAAGTATGAATCGAGATCGCGATTTTCTAACGATTAATCATGCAGCCCTAATATAGACTAGTGGTAATAATGAGCTGATAGATGTGGCGACAATTTTTATTTCTTCTTGACTCTTATAGGAACAAAATGATGCAATTTAAGATTGATTTAAAAAGACTGATAATCGATTGGTGGACGCCAGGGGTTAGACTTTCAGCCATTTAGCCCCACACATACACTCATTAAGAACATGACTGTCATGGTAATTTGGGGCAAAACAAGTTTGGATTTTTTTAATAATCCACACAGGCTCAAAATCTTTTAATAAGTGGTGCTGAAGGTTCTATGATGTCTCAACTTGGCTTTTTCTTTTTAGTGATCACAATTGACTAAAACTGGTAATTTCTTTGCAGCACGGAAAGGATTTGTTTAACAGCCCTTATTGGACTTACAAATGCTCAGAACAGTGGGGGAAGTCTATTGTAGCGGTCCCCAACCCCTGGGCCTCATCCGTGAGTCATTTGGTACTGTGCCGCGAGAGATGAGGCTCAGGTGTGAAATTTATGGTTTTCAGGGTTTTTATCGGTTTTGTATCGTCATTTTTTATTGTTTTTATCATTAACTCTGTTTCCCTGAGTCTTTTTCCATGTTTTATGAATAAATCTTCTTTTTTTGGTACCGGTACTGGCTTTATTTTGTTGTATTTATGCGCGACACCTTGAACGTCCGTGAAAATGTCGTCAGACATAAACCGGGCCGTGGTGCAAAAAAGGTTGCGGACCGCTGGTCTAAGGAACTCACTGAAGATCTAAGAAGGAGAATTGTAGATTTACACAAGTTAGGAAGGTCTAAATAACTGTAGACTCGAAGATCATCAGTTCAAACAATTGTAAGTACAAGTTATTCAGATGTGGAAAAAGACCCAAACTGTCACACAGGAAATTGGCTAGGATCTTCAGAAACAGCACAGAAACTACCAAGGTTCAAGCCTGACATGAACTGGAAACCTCTGGAACACCAGAGAGGGTGCCAATTAAGTAAGAAACCCCTGCTCCAATATAGACCTCTTTTTTTAACGTTTATTATGTGGCAAGACAACGATTGAACTTATATCGTTGCCTTGAGTTATAGTTGGAGTAAAGATGAGGCTTTCAAACCCAAGAACACTGCACCAACTGTCAAGCATGGTGGTGGTAGCATCATTCTCTGGGCCTGTTTTGCTGACAGTGGTAAAGGTGCACTGCACAAAGTGGATAAAAATTAAAAGTGGATGGATGAAACTTGGATTTCAGATGTAACTAAGTTTCTGAAATGGCCTTCCCAAATCCCCTATATATGCAAGTATATAGACAGTATAACGGAGCCTGTATTTATATATACTTTTGACCGTGTGTGGATTAGAGAAAATACAAAATAAATTGAAACTTGGGCACCCAGTACTTGTTTTATCAAGTCATTAAAGATGTATGCTATACAATCATTCCAGAACAAAGAACAGCTTAAAGAAATCATTAAAAGCCAGAAATTATCATGACATTCATGCCCATAATTAGTTTAAACATTTTATTAAACAGCTTTCAGTCTAAATGTACTGAGCATGTGCAGTGGTTCACAGATATATTTCTCTTAATCTGTAGCCATGTTTGCTTTGAAATCTCTGATGGTTTTGATCTCATTTTCTTACCTTATGTACACGACCCCTCCACCGTGCTCTGTCTTGCGCTGCCAGCCAATGGGGACCTGGACAGGGACGGCCTGCCTCTCATCTCCTGCCTCGCAGTCCTTTCCGCCATTCATTGCTCCGCTGGTTTTACGCTCGACACCTCAGAGGTATATATATCAGACATCAACCAGTGTCTTCGCAATGCGCGTCATGTTTGTCTTCCAAAGCCGTGGCCGAGGTGGCGATAGGAGGGAGGGTTCAGGATGATGAATATTCACTTCAGAGTGGGAGTGTGCTCTCAGGTGGAGCTGATGGGGGATGGGGGTGCAGGGTGGGTAGGGTGAGGCGAGCTCACGGCAGACCCTACCCTTTGAGCTGCTTCATGGCCACGGTGCTGAACGGCGGGTGGACTTCCATTACTGCAGCTCGTCATTCGGAGCCATCCGACTCAGGAGGGGAGAAGGAGGAGGGGTGGGGGGTTGGGGTGAGGAATCGGCTGTGCGTTGAGGGGAGAGTCGCTTTACTTTTAATTTTTCACCATTTGTCTCTCACCGCCCAGAACAGGCTCCCCTCATGCGGACATGTTGCGGACCATGTTCAACATATTGGTTCCCAAATGCAGTTGGGTAGTGGTATTCCCATGGTTCCTTTGAGGGCAGAGGAGAAAAGACAGAGGTGTAAGAACAAGAAACAAGGAATTACACATCAAAAATATTTAACAGGCGTACAGCCCTAATAGAAAATGATTTCTTAGTTAACAAAAGCACATCAAGAGTGCAACTCCCCCGAAGGGCAAGGGCTTCAGCTGCAGGGCGTTGCATTGAAAAGATAAAGTCCGTTGTACAGCCCTCCCCATGCCCGTTCATGAAACATTATACTTGATATGGTTTCCTTCTTTAATTTTTTTTAATTTTTTGTATCCAGGTTTAAGTTTTACCTTGGGTGCTAACAATTTTTACTCTCCCTTTTTGGAGGGGAGAGTAAAAAGGTAATATCTAAGCCACAAAGCCTATTGTTCAGAACTAATTTAAGAAATTTAACCCCCATGATGCACTCTAATTTACTTTGGGGCGATACGGGGAAATACAGGGTATGACAAAACTCTGCAGTTATATCTAAATAATTTCTCGTGGCTCAATGGACAGTTAAAATTAGGGTGGGGCCACTCTGATATGTCGATATCAGTTGGTTCCTGACCCAAAAAGCTGGAAGAGATATCTGTAGCTCCTGGCTCTGAAAAGTGAAGCCGATGCAGATTTGTCTTACAACTGCATTCTATTTAATGAGCATTAGGAGGCGAACTCTCTGACTCTGCAAAGAGGACTGCCTATAGAAGTCTAGGGGAAGAAAACCCCTTGCATCTGTAGAGTGACCTCAGAAAACATTTTCCTGATGAGTTTATGTGCTCAGACACTAATTTCAAGCCATACTGAGTAAAACACTAATTTGACCTTGTAAATTATGGTCAAAATTAGCACAATTGGAGTGTGATAAAAGAATTTCCCAAGGAATGCTAACAGACTGCCATGGTTGCTTGTGTTTTACATGGACGATGACAATTTGTCTAGAAACATTTGCTAACAAACCACTGAGTGTTAGTGAAACCTGCAAAAATGCATTTCAACTTCTAAGGAAAATATATGCTTTACCACATTTCAAAAGGTCCAACCTTTACTTTGAAGGCAAATGTTCTTGGTTCCAGTTTGCAGGACAGTCTTGACACTACCACCACGATCTATTGGTGATTGATCGATGACGATTAATGATTCCCAGACGCCGTAACGCCCACTCATATCTGACCTCAGGAATTCGCATGATAAGGTGGGGCCAGGTTTCACAATGAGCTCACCCGAAACCCTGGCTGATTGTGACCCACACCCAGTTTCACACCTTGGCTCAGGCGATTAGAGGATCATCAGGGGGTCCTTTTGTCCCTCTGTGGGGGGATACTCCCACTAGGTTTAAATCTGGGACTCCCCACCATTTGACCTTAGAACTGAAGAAGCTTCTCGGATGAGAGGTGAAACGTCTTCAAGCAACTTAAAGAAGTCCAGACGCTTTTCTTTGCAAGCTCCTTTGACTACGATGACCTGGATGACTGAGAACCTTCACAGACATTAATGATGACTATTGCTATCATTCAGAGACCAAAGCAATTGTAAATGTACTACTAAGAGTCCGGGAATTATAGTTGACCACAGATTATAAAGAGTTCTTGGTCTATGAGTAGGATATTGAGTAAAAGTAATAGTAAAACCAAGGTGCATACTTTATTAAAGGTCTTTCACCTTCAACACGACAACAGCACCACTGCGCAATGCAAGGACAGTTACCCGTCAAAGAACAGCGCAAGCATGCCTGTCGGGGGAGCCTTGGTGCTTGCTGTAATGTGACATACATATAGTGGACCAATAAAAATGCAGAATGACAAGAAGTGTGCTTTTAATACAAGCAAAATCCACAAACAGTCTGCAAACATGATGTAGACCAGAATGTAGTTAATTTTGGGTCTTCAGGTTATGAGATGGAGTCAGACCGCAAGCAAAAGACTAGCTTTTAATGTTTAAAGCAAGTTTAAAGTTTCAAAGCTTTACTGTACAGATTACAAATCAACGACTTCACCAAGAGGGAGACAAAAAATATTAATTCATGAATACACGACTGTTCTTGACAAGATGAACTCCTCTTTGCAGCTCAGAAACTTGAGCCAGAAAACTTGAGTTATTCTGCGACCTTCTAAGAAATGGAACAAGAATGATAGCTCAGCTCTCGAGTCTCCAATGGTCCATGTCTGTAGCAAAGTATAATCAAGGTCTTAACAAAGAAAGGTGATAACCAGCATTGTGATACACATTAACTCTTACTGGGGTTTTACGTTTTGTCAAGCGAGCTAATGCAAAGAAAGCCTGGCTACTAGAAGTAGTAACATCTCGCTGCAAGAAAACCAACATCAGCTGTTTGGTACCAGAACCAATACCAGTATCCTTACTAGGAGTCTGTAGCTTAATCGCCTAAATATTAGACGAAGGTTTACACAGCAATTGATTGTTGAAAATGCTTTCATTTATCCTAACCGCTTTCATAACAACAGGTCTTTAATCTTGCCTCAACACTCAAGTCTATATAAAGAAAACAAAAAAACCCCCAAAACTGCAGCAGTTTTGTCAGCTTCCCCCGTCTCCCTATCAGACAGTAGGAGAAGCCCGTCAAAGCTGGTAATCAGGCTGAATAGAGCCTGTGAGTGATGGAGCTCCATGCAAAGCTTCCTCTCAGCCGCTGGTGCTGCTGACTCATAACTGAGACCAAACTCAGTGACACCACCACAGAGGAAGAACGGTTTAAAAAAAAAAAAAGAAGGAAAAAAAAAAGAAAGAAAGAAAGAGGTGGCAGTTAAACATACGCAGTTTATTCAAAGGAGCTTGCAAAGAAAAGCGTCTGGACTTCTTTAAGTTGCTTGAAGACGTTTCACCTCTCATCCGAGAAGCTTCTTCAGTTCTTCTCGGATGAGAGGTGAAACGTCTTCAAGCAACTTAAAGAAGTCCAGACGCTTTTCTTTGCAAGCTCCTTTGACTACGATGACCTGGATGACTGAGAACCTTCACAGACATACGCAGTTTATCTGAAAAGACACGACAGCAAAAGGAGAAACCTCTGTTGCATAGTTAAAATCTAATTTAACATAAGTCTAAGTCTAGAGAAGACATCGTTTCTACCGTTGGGTTCACACTGGAGGGAAAAATGAATTATGCTTCCCTGTAGGAGCCCAGTGCAGTGTTGCTATTTGAAGACATCTTTGGCTTTTATAAATGCTGTTTTTTTGAGGCATGCTCTCTTGTATTATTCCCTCAAATTGGAAAGATGCAGACTCGTAAAATCATGGGCCTGACCTCAATCAAACACTTTTAAATTACCAACCACCGAGAGCTACTCTACAACACAAAAATTCATAAGCATGATTATTTTGATCAGCAGTTAATCTTATTCGCTTAACACAATCCTACTCTTTTTCCTATTTTTGGTTTACTCTTCTTTAGAATTTCTTCTTATGCACGAACTAGCTTCATGGATCAGTTTTTTGGGATCATCTCTAAGGCATGCTGCAGTCATACCACATGAATTACAAAAGCTTACATAACAATAACAGTGTTAACAGTTACCCCCCACTGGGGCAGGTCGATCACTTTAAATTCCCCCAAAACAAAGCCAATTAAAATTACTTTACATACTGTTAGCTTATCACATAAAAATAACATGTCATTTATTAGCAGACTGATACTTCCACTGCAGTTAGTACGTAAAGTAAAATGCATGTAAAGGAGTTAAAAATAACTATACATAACAAACGTTAGGGGAATCTGTTTTGTCTTCATCTAATCTATCAGGTAGTGTTTAGCAGTGCTGCTTCACACCAGGAAGGTCCTGAGTTCGATTCTACCACGTGCCTGGGGCCTTTCAGTGTGGAGTTCACATGTTCTCCCCGTGTTTGCGTGGGTCCTCTCTGGGTACTCCAGCTTCCTCCAACAGTCCAAAGGCATGTCGTTATAGGGGTTAGGTTAATTGATGATTCTAAATTGCCCATAAGTGTGACTGTGAATGGTTGTCTCTGGTTTGAGTCTTTTAAGTCTGCGCCAGATTGGCGACCAGTCCATGGCTCCAGCCGTTGGATGTACAAAGATCAGTTTAACTGCAAGCAGACAGTTTCCATTTTAGCTTCTACTTAAATTACTAAGCTGCTGCCGTGTAAAAAGTAGATGAAAGCAGTTAAAAAACAATAACAACCAAACAAACAAAACAGTTTTTTGTTACATTTAAACAATCCATATGGGTGGTTTGATTTCCATTGGCGTTTCATTGTGAAAATACTGACGGTAATAAAAACTAATCATTAAAAACTAATGATTACTGGCTCCAAAGATTCGGCCACTTTTTATGTTGAACTCTGCATAAATATAAAATTTAAGGGAAAAAAAAAAATCAAACGTAAACAGGATTTTATCAATTTCTCTCAAACCACACATATAATTATTATGGACAACCACATTTGACTTTCGAAAAATGTTCTCTCAAGTCTTGGCAATCATGGACGAACAAAAAAAAAAAAAAAATCTTTCTCAAACTGATATCAAACTATTTACATGCTTTCCAAACTAGGGCTGCTCGATTATGGCAAAAAGTGATAAGTCACGATTATTTTCATTGAAATTGAGATCTCGATTATTTGACGATATTTATTTAACAATAACAATGTATTGAATAATGACTTTAAAGATTGTCAAAAAATAATATAAAATAGTGTGCAAATACTGATAACAGTGCAAATGTTTGCAATATAAAAAAGAAATGAAAAATGTAAACATCTATGTTTAGTGAACTTTGCAGTGTTGCTCTGTGGTGCAGCTACGACACTGTAGCAAAGTTTACACACCATAGCTGTGTCCAAATTCAGGGTCTGCACGCTTGAAGTACGCGCACTACGCGTACTACGTACGGTGCGTACTATTAGTACGAGAAGTGCGGAAGTGAGAGGCTTGTGAAATGGGACGGTATACGCTTCGTCGCGCTGTTCAGGTTGCCTAGCAACCATGATACTAACCAACACGTTACATACAGCATTGTTTGACAGAAATGAAGGAGAAAAATGTTTTGTTGGTCATTCATTTTTGTCATGACATCACTTTGATTAGTTGAGTATCTGAGGCTGAGACCACAGGACTGTAAAACATGATTGTTGGGCTTCATTTCTGTGCTGAACAGTCATTTAAGATTAGTTAGTAAATAACAATTAGTTAATGTTGTTCATGAGACTAAAGTCATCTCACTGTGGTAATGTAAATATAATATGGCCAATATTATAGTATTGTCAGATATATATATTTCAGATTGTTGTGTTTGTGGATATATGACTGACTTTAATTATTAAACATTCGCACATAAATAAGTGACGTCATATTCAGTACTTTTGACAGTTCACTCTTCGGCCGCTCCATCTTATTAGGGAAATTCCATATACATAAATGTCAGTTTCAAGACTCAACCCCATCATTTAATTTGGTTTTGATTGAAATTGAATATTACTTAAACTCTGTTAAATTAACTTCCAATAAAAAAGGTTTATCATTGATTGAAATTCATTCAGAAATGTTTAACGAATGAGATGTCACAACTTTCAAATACAAAGTTGTTATGAAGTCTGTCACATCCCTCCCCCCTTTTTTTTCTTTATTTATTTATCCTTCTTATTTCATTGTACTGTATATTGTTACTCTTATTTGCCTTGTATGTCTACTGTACAAACTGAACTGGAATGACTGACTGTTCGCTTTATACGTTCAATAAAGTTTGGGGGGAAAAAAACCCTCTTCGGCCGCTCCCTTCTGCCGTATTTTGCGGCAAAATTCTCCACACCCACCGCCGCGCTATGAATTGTGGGATATATGGGACCACGAAGCGTGCACCGGACAACGCTTGATATTTGGGGAAATTGACGGTGCATTTGGAGTATGCATTTGAAGTACACTTCGAATTGGGACAGCCGTCGTCGCGTGGCGGTGACGTAACCGCACTTAAAATGCGTACTTCAAGCGTGCAGACCCTGAATTGGGACACAGCCTATGTCTACTTGATCCACATCTGACTCCGCGAACCCAATGTTTCCACACCACTGAAGTTTTTTTTTACCTCTCTTTTCAACCAACGGCAGTCACTCTCCTCTCCAAATAACTTCTGCTTAGCTTTCCGAGGTTCTCTCGGGTCCTCTTAATCAACGGTCCCCAACCCCCAGGCCTCGGACCGGTCCGTGAGTCGTTTGGTACCAGGCCGCGAGAGTTGAGGCTCAGGTGTGAAATGTATAGTTTTTAGGGTTTTTATCGGTTTTCAGCGTTATTTTGTTATCGTT